AGCGATGTAGGTAACAGTAGTATTTCTATATTTAATACTTTCTTAGATTTACGCGAATGTTTGAGATTATTAAATAAAACTATCTTTTAGGGAGAGTCTCTCCCGTGACCATGGTTGCTGTAAAGCATTCGAAACGTCGGGAACCAAAAATCAAAATAAATCCGCGAAATAATCCGAAAAGATAGTTTTATTTAATGATTTCTATATTTATTGCATTTAAAAATAATGATCTCAACGAAAACCGAAGAATTCTAAAAACATAGTTTCGCAATTTGAACAGATAAAGGTAACGGGTTAAGTTCACATCTAGTTGCTTAACCGCCCTAGCGGCAACATCAACGTCAACGTTACATCAAGATGACGTATCTATGCCCTTAGCGGTTCTCAACATTGTACTTCATTCGATTAACATAATTTATTGCTCAGTAAGTGCCATTACTTGCAAATGGAACTTGTATTTTTTATTTAACATTTTAACGAGCAATAAGTACGAATGATTAAGATCAAAAATGATGTTTTGTAGTGTTTTTATAGTTTCTTTACCGATTTCAAAAAGTAAGAGGTTTAATTCCATTCGACTTCATACGAGTCCATTTATCGACAAGCTTTTGGGTATGTATTGTAATTTAATTTGAATAAATAATGTGGTTTTATATCATGTTGTATTTTAATGTAATCTTTATTTTACAAACGATATCTTTTATTATAAGTATTGACATAGTACTACACATACAACATAGTAGTACACTCCTTTTATTAACGTTGGGAAATGCATTTACGCATACCACCTGCATAAATATGGTGAATGTGGGACTCACGGGCTAAAAGGCCAGTACTACTCAGTAATACCACGGTAATATAATGCATACAGTATTCCAACTCGGGCCTGTCCTTGAAATAGTTACCTACAGCCGAGCGGCACGTACCCACGCGACAGGGCTGCCCGAGTGCCCGCCGGCCAGTATTTTAATTTCATCTACCTATGTACTTGAGTTTCTTTCTAATTTTGTGATTAAAAACTATTATTAGTAGATTTAATTATAAAATCTCAAATTTATAATGGTAGCATGTGACCCTTATAAATTTGAGATTTAAAAATGACCTCGACTAAGACGTACGAAAAGCTTTATTGTTAAATTTAATAGTATAAAGAATCCGCATTCAGATAAAAAGTTTAATTAAAAATACTTTAATTTTTATTTTTAATTTAATTAATTAATTTTTATTTTTAAAACATACGATGTCTCGATACTTTTTTGTTTGACATTAGCGAAGTTACGGGAGGAATAAAATGGTTATTTTTGTATCAAATTATAAAAGTAACATAACATAACCACCTTATACAATTTTCGTATCCAGTTATACGATCTGGCAGCCCCGCACGGTTGTCTACCGAGTGTATACCGAACGCAACGAGCGTAGGTATAACTCGATTTCCGACCGTTGTATGAAAATGGAATACTGTCTGTAATATTACCGTGGTATTACCCAACGGTTGGGAAGTCGCACGACCACGTGCGCCGCGACAGCTGGCCTCTCGAGTTAGACTACATAAGTACCTAAGAAAACATCAAATTAGGTCATAAATCATGTAATGTAAATATTTACATTTTTATGACCATGTCAATAAAAATATACATAAGAAAACAATATATGTAAATATTGCTATTCCATATAAGTTAGGCGAACATCCTTCAAGTTACACTTTCATCATAAAAGTTTGTAAGCACGAAGTTTCTAGAAGAGACACGGTTCGAATATTGATCAAGTGAACACTGACATGTCACAGTTCTAATGTAGTTTAACGTAGATTAATCAGACAATTGAAAGCGACCATTTTGTGTGTAATATAAAGATGTAAATCTATGCAATAAGAAGGTCAAACCTAACCCATCAAATTCTAAATATGGCGTAACTATTGTGCGGGGCATAACTCATAAGTAGGACGGAAATAACCTACTGAATGAATAGAATTAAATTTTTATTACTAACGACTTACTCGCGCTCCGCTCGTGTGCGTCCTTAAAAGTTTATGTGTTACTCCAGGTCACAGTCTATCTGTGTACTAAATTTTATCAAAATCCGTCGAGCAGTTTTAGTAAAACACAGTAACACACATGCACACATACAAATATTCGCAATTATAATAGTGTTCCGATTTTGCCTGGTGTTAAACCTCCAAACACAATGTATTGGTACATAAACGCAAACTAATACCTCATCCAAAATAAAAATAAAAACTCTAATGAAAGAGTATCGTAATGAGACCGCCAAATCATTCTTTCAAGTAAATTAAGCTAGTCGTACTAAACGTAAATTGCATTTATAACAGTATAATTTATATTGCATAAAGTTATGTAGTGTACTTGGTCAATTACCGCGTTATTATATTTTTAGTTTCCCATGCGCCACTTTAAAATGGAATGGTCAAAAGAAAAAAATATCTTTTAATTTCTAAAGTCAAGTTTTGATGTCTGGTTAAGTTATTTAATAACTAATTTTGAAACTTGTTTTCTGTTGAACCTACATATTTCTGCAAGGTATTCCTTTAAAAATACCTAATGCTGTTAATACTTTCTTAGATTTACGCGAATATTTGACATTTTAAATAATACTATCTTTTCGGATTATTTCGCGGATTTATTTTGATTTTTGGTTCCCGGATATTGCTATATTTAATTATATTTTTTTTTAAATGTTTAGAAATAAAAATCAACTAATATTGGTGCCATTTTTAAATTTTTGAAATTATTGTTGTAAAATAGTGGGTAGGCACTGTCTGTAACAAATGTATAACACCTTTAAGACGTCTATAATCTTAGTATCTCCCGTGACCATGATTGCTGTAAAGCATTCGAAACGTCGATAGTTTAATTAAAGCTAATGCTATTGTTAAGCACCTATGGTCGCACCCTAACGAAGCGAGTGCAACTCTAGTACATAAATATTTACATGAGAATCAGCCTGAAGTATTTATAGTGGCTAAAGTAATCAATTGAATTTATAATGTAAATAATAATCATTTTTTATAATGCATTAAACCGTGTTATAACAGTGTGTTACAGCTTACAAGGCTAGGTATAACCTCTTACTTTGCAGAGCATTACATTACGTCCATAAATAATTCAAGTACACTTTTGAAGGCTTGAGAAGCCTGAATTTACGCTATTGCTTCTGTGGATTACATCTTGTAAATAGTTATACTAGAGGTGCAAATTTAAACATCATAATAAGTTAAAAGGTTTACAATGTAAAAATGAATATTACGAGTATAATGACGTACCTATGTAATACGTCATCTATTTTGGGCCAACTGTATAAAAAGGAGGGTATTGTTTGACGGTCCAAGTGTTGTAAATAGCTTACACTACGCTTTTTGAATAAGCTACAGTAAACACCTTACATTATGCAGCTTACAGTATAAAATGTTATTATTATTAAACGTTTTATAATATGATTTCGTTACTAAAATTACTACAATAGGAAACCTAAAAGATATTGATTGAAAGATTGAGATACAAAAAAAAATATGGTATCACTTCTTAAATTTAATAATTAGGTATTTAATATTTATTATCTTTTATTTTATCGTAAAATATATCATATACCTATTACGAGTATGCGCCAATACGTGGTAATTATCATAACTTATAGATTGTTAGATTAAAATTTGAACCAAGGTTTATTTTGTTTGTAATTAATTCTTGCTGTTTCAGTATAGTACCTACTCTATTATACAGCCATTGCAAGGTTAGTTATGGCCATTATAAGCGTAAACCTTTGTTTGTATAATGTACTCGTACAAGTAACCTCTAATTCATCATTTATATTTATTGTATTTACATACTTCTATTCGAGATTATTAGTCAATAGTACATGTTAACATATTAACGTAACATTTTTATGATTTGAAGTGAAGTTTAATGTCGTTTCAGCCTTGGCACTTGTAAGCATATACCTTTCCTATTTAATAAAAAGCTTACTACTAAGTGAATAAATAGGCAGGTTGGTTTAAACAACATTTATTAATTTATTTACAAATTTATAAAATAAAAATATCGGTAACTCTTATTCTAGCCAATATTTATCTACATTATTTACATTTCAAAATATTTCTTTTGTATAATACTAATGATGACGATAATAATTTTTTTTAGTTTCAGTGAGTATTGTATTGTCATTAAATATTTTTCATGTTTTGTGAATAAAATAAATTACTTAATTTAATTTTGTACCTTTACATATGTAGTTTTTACATTTTACCTAATCGGTTCGAAATATTAAAATACATTATATTGTGAATATTTTACGAAAACTAACATTAGCATAAAATAATCTGATTCTGCTAAATCTATACTGTGAACACAGGTAATTATTGGACGGAAGCTCGTATTAAAAATTTTAAATTTTGAATTATTAAAATGTCGATATTCCATTTTTTTTATTAACAGTATTGTTTGAATTCTATTGCATTCAAAATTTCTTTAAGAAGTTAATAAGAAATATAGATGATTTTAGTGTTTGGACTAATTAAATTATTAAAACTAAATAAATATGATAATTTAAAAAATAAGGCAGTGAAATTTGAATACTTCACTCTTCTGTGCACCAAATATATTTCAAAACTGTAAGAACAGAGTCGTGTTATGATAGACGTGTTCTTATAGTTTTGTATATTTTCATTAAGTTAAAAATTAATTAGAAAGCCTCTGTTCTGTTGCTCTATGACTTTATAAGCTAAATATCATGGTGCAACAGTATTTATTATAATAATAATATGTTTCAAAAAATGTATGTTTATTTTTTGATACGACGCGGAATTGACAAAAAATATTAAAAAATATTGGTGTATTTAGTTTTTTAAAGGTATAACTATTTTACAAGGAGCTATTAATTTTAAATATTTTTAAGAATTTCACATAAAAGTTCAATTATTACAATATCAGGATTTAGTTTTAACAAAATAAGTTTAACTAATAATTAATTTTGTTAATAAATTAACCGAAGTTTTCAAAATGGTGTATGAAATATGGAAGTCTCCTCGTGCGGTTGACTTGTTCACACGCAGACATTATTGACTTAGTGAGCGGCCGTGGACCGCAAGAAAATACACCGATTTTAGATACCTACAAGAAAAAAGAAGGAAAAAATAAATTAAATCATTTTTACTAGTGATAGACATTTTCAGGAGAGAAAGAGATATGTGTATTGTGTATGTATACTTGTATACAATACCTATAAAAACATGATTGAAATGCACAATTGATATAAGTATACCTAATACTTATTTCAATTGTACATTTACCTTGAACTAAATAGATGATTAAAAGGAAAATTCCGGTAAGTAAACAAGATTAACTATAATTATAGTTAGCTGCTATATAATGGTGTGTCGCTCGCGTCGTTTGTTATAATTAGGGAACAAATGCACTATTTCGCATAGACGAGTATAATTTAGGTCCTTGTGTAACCCGCGATCAGTGATCAGTGCACGATCAGTCACGACTTTATTACACGATGTATGAACGGAAAGGCAAATCTAATTTACTATTTATTACAGAATCGGGTTGCACAGTTACATGAACGCCAAACGTAATTATTATTTTATGGTTTTATTTAACTTTAACATTTTCTTTGTTGTGAAATATTTTTTTCTCACTAGATATTATAGAATAAAAAGGTAAATTAATAAACTCAGGACTGAACTATGTGATTTATCATACATTAACGAGGTAGACGTCCATCTTCTTTATTATTAAAACTTTGTAACCTATTCAGTCGTTTTTGAGATATCGACGGATGTAAATGTATATATAAAAGTCAAACAAGGTTTTGGTTCTGTCGAATTCGGTCGGTTAAAGGCAAGATATACAATTTTATGTAAGTAGGAATACAAGCAATTTGCGACTTGACACTCACATAGCTATGTTTCTTCTGCACAAATTTGAGGAAGGAAGACATATCCGGCCGCCCGAAGTGATTCACCGCTTTCAAACCGGTGAACATCGACGTGCGGGACAGCCTTTGGAAGTGGTTCTCACAAATATACTATAACAAAGAAGAAATGCTTTTTATACAAGATAAAGTATATTTGACAGATGTTTTTTTGTCCAAGTTTCAATAAAGAAAGGGTCAGGGAAGTGCTGCCATCTTGCGCTTTATATAAAAAAAAGTTGAAATGTTACTGTAAATGTCTCATTTCGAACGAAAATCCCAGTTAGACCAAAGTTTGGCGTTTCACAAGTAATATTAATTGTAGTTGTTTCTCTCATGAATATATTTTCTTATCAGACACACAGTCTTCTTTCAGAATATGTAAAAAAATATCAAATCTTAAGATATAATTTTTTCATTATTCTGGTGCTGAAATGAGGCCTTATCGACACTCTTCTTTTTCTATACCACTCACAAAAACTAATATTGATTGTTCAACTGGTACACCTAAAAGCAAATAAGACAAAGAATAATAAATATTGTTTGACTTACTATGCTATGGCAAAAGGCCGCATTAAATAGTCAACGAAATATTATAGGGCTAGGGCTTAATTCGTTACGCCACTTGATTTGTAAGTAAACGAGCATGAAATCGTTAATAGTATAGACTTTACACACTTTTCCTTATACGCATATTATGAGCTTTATACATATTTATTATTTGAAAAACAAACTTTACTCGTGTACTTTTGCATTAGACACGAGATTTAGACTGTGTGCTAGGTATGTAAAATAAATATTGTAAACTAATAAAAAACCTCGAAAAACAAATTGAAAATTTAAAAAAATCCATGATTCCACTTATTTAAGCTTTCGCCTTTATAATATTAGACTGAATTTTAATATTCTCGTATCTCCCCGTTTTGGAATAAAAAAAAGCATTGAAAGAACTTTCTATGATGAAGAATATGGTATACCTAACAGTACACAATAGGTACTGTTTTTTTTAACTACTTAATATTAGCATCATCTGCATTGCTACTGGCGTCGTGCAATATAGCACCTATGGCATATTGCATGAAAGTGTGTTTAAAAAATATATTAAGATATAAATTCAACATTATAGAAGAACTCACGAGCATCGTAGTCCTGAGATCGAATTTGTGGAAGAACTGTGTGATGAATATGTGTATCTCGAGAACGTTGGTGACGTCCTTGCGCTCGACGTCGCGCAGCACGTCGATGAACCACTCGAAATGCTTGTGCGATGGACAGATCCATAGGAAATATACCTAAATGATAAAAAAAGTATATAGTACAGTAAAAAAATATTATATCATATAATTTTTAAAATGACTTAAACCCATCTACTATCAATTCACCGTTACCTAAAAACCATAGAGAAATATGGGGATCCATTACCTACCTACACCTACGTTGGGATACTCAATCACTTATGAATTTTTTCTTTACAGTGGATTGCTGCTATATATCAAAAAAGTAACAAAACCTCTTACCTTCTTACAAGCAACTCCAGAATATCTGTTAGTAGACGTGCCAAACACCAGGTCGTTCAGAATGGACGCGTATGGAGTGACACCGATGCCGCCGCCAACCATCACCGCTACTTCGAATTTGTACCAGTCTTGATTGCCTCCGCCAAATGGACCTTGGATCCTATGAAATAAATATTAAAAAGCTTTTTGAATAAAAATATCCTTTCGGATTTTTTCGCGTATTTATTTTGATTTTTGGTTCCCGACGTTTCGAATGATTTACAGCAATTACGTTCAGAGGAGAGAATAAAAAGCTTGTTAGCAATATAATAATTTTCATAGATTTTGTTTATCAATAGACGTAGGTACATAAATAGAGCTAATCTGTGTTATTTAAATATTTACATACGAGTATTTTTAACTAACCTAATCTCAAAAAAGTCAAAAAGCATAAAATTACTTTTGGTATGCGCAATTGACGGTCGAGAAGCGATTCTGTTGCTATATTTACGGTATCTATTCTCGTTTATGAAGCTGTATCTCTTGAATCGTATTAGGTAATATATTTTTACAAAATGTAGGTACTATTATAAAAAGTATCTTTTAATAAATAATGAAAATGTTAAAATCTAAATTGATCTCGTGCAAAAAGTGCTTATTAAGATTTTTAGTTTTCCTCTGTTGCATAAATAGTGAATACGAACTTCATTAAAATCAAAGATTTTTGTAATTTTACCGTATTTTTGGTTGATTTTCCGGATTGTAATTGCAAGGATCAAAATAATTTCTAAGTTTCCAAGTCCACGGTCCCTGCGCTTTGATGTGGCAGGAGAGGAAGTTTTCGTGCGGAGCCGACGTCAGGGTGAATGAGTGGAATTCTTCTTTCTTGAAGGCAGTACAAGCGAGACGCACCCATTGGCCTGATAAGATGAAAATATATATTTATATTTCAAATAAATATTAATAAAATTATTTTGAAAAACAATTAATTATCCGTAGCCACTTTTTTGGGAAATCATTTTATATTTAAACTATTAAAACAGCCAAGGAATAAAAAAAGTCAAGACATAAAAAAAATACTCACCAGATAAATATTTGAGATTTGGAGGTCGATAAAACTTAATTTTAATAACATCAGAGGGTAACATTTCTGTTTCTAACACATCTAAAGCTAGGTATTTCGTACGTAAGGACACCACCTGCAAACAAATTATAATTTACTCTATATTCTATTTTACTTCTTCAATTTTCAGTTCCATTTGTATAATATTGACTATTAAAATTTCAAGTATCAAGACTCTTCAGTTCTATACGTAATATACTATACAAATACACAAACAAAACTCACTTTATCCAATATATAAATTATGGCTGGGCCGAGGAAGAAAATCCAGAACCTGGGAGCCCCAGTGAGGCGGGCCAGCCCGTGCACGAGGCATAGCGCGTACAACGCAACATGCAACGAGTGCGCGCGCCAAAACCACGGATACGCGCGCTTGCGGATAACGGGGTGTGCGAAGATGAAGATTATGCACATGATTATGAAGAGCAGAACTCCGGTTACACCTAGTGGTTGATTATTGTATAGTTATACATATTTATGGAATTCCTTATGCGGCGAAGTGATTTAAGCTTGGTGGCTAAAGTGGCTCAATACATTAAGTAATTTGTTGCAAAAAGTTATTTATGGATACTACTAGTGCTACTTGTATGTGATTTATACTTTATAAGGTATGGTCAGTAGACAATCTATTAAAATAGGTACTTTGAAAATATAATTACTTATCTATTTTTACAATAGTAACCTGTTATTGTTTGGAAGACCCAATAAGTGATGCCAGGTCTAAAATCTGATGTGAAATGTACTTCTTTAGTCAAACAACGCAAATTTTCTACTGGCTGAGTAGAAACGTGGTAGAAGTTGACCATATGCCCGGCCGTGTGGAGCAGGGAGAAGAAGAGTGCAGTGCAAGCTACTATCTTGTGAAACTGGATACTGGAGTCCAATGGTATGTATTGTTGGATGCTAAATTCCTGTAAAATAATAATAAACTTATCACTTTGAAATTTTTATGTTTTAATGGTTCACTATAAGCATCAAACAAAAAATGAAAATATATATGAATGTAATGTAAAGTCTAACATAAAAAGCTTTAATAGTAATATGTTGCGTTGTATTCTATTTAAAATTTGAAAATTATATAAGATTAGTCACATAATATGTACCTTTAACTTAGTTAACAGATTCCTTGACATTGTCAATAGTAACAAACTGTAGCAGAAAGACAAAGAGGCGGCAGAGCCTCGAGTTATCGCAATTCCGACTCCCATTATATGCCTTAAATCCAAATGTTCTGACATAAAGGAGTAATGCGCGAATCTCTCCACAAAGAGACCAATAGTAACAACGTAAAATACGAATAGATAAAATATATTTTGTCGATTTTCTTCTAAGAATGTTACCAAATAGTCCCATTTAAGGAGGAACCAGTGCCTGAAAATATTTAAGTCTCATTTAGTACATTCGTATTATAGTACCTAGTTGTACTTAACAAAAAAGTATTTAAAGGTTGTTATCGTTTGTAAAATAAATAACAAAATATAATTTCCTTAACTTTCATTTAAAATTATATAAACTAAAATTATTTGTTTCCTAACAAAATAAGTATTTTAATATCATTACACTCCAAAAACATCGTAAATTTTTCAAAAGTAATTAAAATAAATTAATTTTTAACGTAGATTACCTAGATTGTTCCATCGACGGTTCTATATGGAAGCTAGTCATCCTAGCGACGTTAGTGGAAGTGTCCAGGAAATTTTGCTTAGCGCCTTTGCAATCCAATCCAATAGCTACAAATTCTCCTTTATATTCCTTCATCATTACTTTGAAGTCTGAATATGTAAGGTCATCTTTATGTTGAAGACCGGCATCCTAAACCCAAACTTTGTTACTTTGGTATTCCAAAAATCACACAAGCAAACCATACCCTAATTTGTTACTATCTATTAACATTAATACAAAATGAATAAAGAGATAGGTAACTTACTAAGAACATTCCATCAATAAGTTCTGTAACATGTTCATCCCTCAATGACGTGGTTCTTGCGATTTCTACAAGAGACCGCAGCATTTCGCTAAGTTCTTCCTTATCAATGACACCGTTTCTATCGTTGTCGCACATATCGAATATTATACGAAGCTTATCTTCGGTTGCTCCACGAGAAAATAATACTACAGTATCCAAGAATTCCTGTAAATATGATTAGTACATAATTATTTCAACTTTCATTATTATAAAGTCAACAGCACAAAGCATTCAATAATTATATCTACCTGGAATGAAATTCTTCCATCTCCGTCTTTATCAACAATGTTGAACATTTTCGTAACAAAAACTGCATCCGCTTTCATTCCAAGTGCGTTTGCGAATTCACTTTTTGATAAAGATGTCCTCATTACTATTGACTGAAATATATAGTACCTACTGTTAGAATTGTTTCCATGAAATTAATATAAATATGCTATAAATTTAAATATATATATATATATATATATATATATATATCTATATATATATATATATATATATATATATATATAAATTGAAATTGTACATTATACTTTTTATTGCCCTTAATTTAACATGCTTTGTTCATGTTTGTATCTTCCTGTGTCTACTTACCTGGTTAGATTCTACTTAGTTGTTTTAACAAATAAGGCATAACTTAAATATTATAAATGCTTTTTTTTTAATTTAGTGACATAAAGTTGGTCTCATAATGGGCCCAAAAACTGATTATCTATTTCAGCCGTTAATCACACTGAGACTAGCCAATTGCTCAGGAAATATTATAGTGGGCTAGTGTACGTGCAGACACCGGTGCCCTCTCTATTTTTTCCTCTATTTGCTTACTGTCACGCAATCATATCCTATATATTATCATACTCTGGTGGGACGACAATTCTACCCTATTTTCAACAGTGAATAAGTAAAGGCGTGTGTAAAAAGAAATACCTCTGGGTCAGAATCTTCTGATCTTCTTCTTTTCTCTCCAGGCGCCAAGCCAAAAGTTATAGCATAAGCTTCTCTAAAGAAATGTTCTAGTTTCCGTTGTCTTCGCTCTCTCGTTTCTGCAGATATCAATATTTGCTCTCGGTGACCCTACAAATATATTACCTTTATGTGTAGGCAATCCTTTTTCCATAATAAATTTTTCAAAACAAACTTTTTAAAGTTTTTAATTTTGCTAATTATTTAAAACTTTTTAGAGAATTCCTACGTTACTGTCTAAATTTTGCATTTTTATGAGTTTGTGATAATTTGAAACTAATTTGGGTACTTGGGTTTACTTGTTTTTAGTCGAGGTTTTATCAAAAACATCGACTAAAAACAATCGGTCAAGCCGTCTCGGAAAAACTCATTTTAACGACCGAAAAATATTAATTGCAGCGCTCCCTGGCGAGATAACACCGTAACAAAACCGTTTGAAGAAAACCGTATCTAAGTAAGCCAAACCGTTTTGGAGATAAATGGAAACATTCGTGTACACAAACAAATTCTCACCTTAATCGTATTTACCTTCTCCGTTCTGTCGTGGGTAAATATGTTTTCGTTTCGTTTTTAAGCATCGATAATTTTTATTGTTTTTCGTAGAAACTAATAAAATAATATTTATTGTTTACCTGAGTCAGATTCAATGCTTTTTTGTGCTGAGCAAGGAAAGTGTCTAATTTAACGAGAAATTTACGCCTGGAAGCAACTGAATCCATCTCTAATACGAGATCATGCTCTCGCTGCACTCGGATCAGAACTAGAGGACGTTTATTGCGGCTCTCCTGTATAAGTAATATTAATAATATATAAAAAGATTTTCGTCGACTTAACAACTTAAATTTTTTTGTTTATTTGTCATTTCAAAGTCATTTTTGCTTTTACTATAAAACATAATTTAATAGACTTTATTTTTACCTGACTTTCAATGATAGTAAGATGATCTGTATTTTGTAATGGCAGAGTCCTTAATTTGTCTCCCTTACGGTCAGTCACGTGTAGCGCAGGTTCGGGTCCAAGCCTTAGTTTTACTAATCTTTTGTGTGAAGCGTGCACCCATTCTCGGCATACCATTTTATCTACTGTGCCTGAATGCAAATTAATAAATTAATCATAAAGCACAATAAAGGAGAACTAAATAATTTAGTGAAATAAACCCTTATGATACTTCACCTTTCTGTTCAGCATTCTTCAAATGCTCTTGCTGCATTTTAAGCCGTCGGCGACGACTATTTTGTAATTTCACTACACCATAACCAGCGCCTGCGCAAAGTATCGGGACAAATGCTAGTATCAAGCAGGTATAGATATACGCAAACTCGTTACCCTGTAAATATAAGATTAATAATATAAATATAAGGTTATAACCAATATTTAACCTATATTTCATAAGATTAACAAAAGAAATAAAAACAATTTATAAATTAAAAAAATCGTAAGTTTTAAATAAAAATAATAATAAATAATTCTATCAAAATTGTAAATAATAAATATAGCAAATTCGTATTATTTTTCTATGAAGTTGTCAAAACTAACCTCAAAATAATCATATCCCTTAAGATATTTGCAGGGTGGCAGCTTAGAAGCATTGAGCTGGTAAGGCTGACGGCAAGGGTCACCGTCGGCCCAGTGGAACACGTCGCGCTGAATGTCGTTCGGTCCCACTGCGGTACTATTCACTATGATGTCCCATAAAGTTATTTTTCGTAGCTCTTTTATTTCTTCAGGCGTAAATATGCTGGAATATTTTAAATTAATTTTATGCATGTGAAAATTTCTTCGATGACTTATTAATTTCGCGTACATTGTGTTTTTTTTAAAGTACTAGAAAATTGTCTAAAATCAATTAAAATTCCTAGAGTATGTATAATGTTTATTTATAGCTTACCCGTTAACTTCATTTTCGAACCAAAATCTATCAGCATCTCGTATTCTCGTAAACTGATCTATGATAATAGCTCGAAATAGTTCTCCAGGATGACCAGTTGATTCAAGCATTCCACCTAAAATTTGGAGAAATTTGAAGGCATACAAATAATTATCCTTATAACGAATTAAACTTTACATTTAGGAATCTGTGGCTTTTATAATGGGAGTCGTAAAAAATGACAGAAAATAAAGGCTCGTAAGTTAAACTCTCAAAAGTAATCATCATAATCACATTATATTTGTTAAAAAGAAATAAGTGCCATTTGCTTTATGCAAAACATCATACATCGCAAAAGTCTTACCAATATAAACATCAATATTGTCAAGTCTGCCCTCATAAATTTGTATCAAATTCTGTAGCAAGTCCGGATTGTCTTCGAAAAGTTGAGGATTGATTTCGTTGAATGTTTTTACTCTCGGAAGACCAAAATATTCTCTGTAATGTAAGATTTTTAAAATAAAAGAAATGAACCTGTCGTAGGTATTGTGTAAGGTACTATTTACATATAATATGATGATTATAAACAAAGCAGATAATTATTTATTATTTATTTTTACCTTGCTGTATTATAATCAGGTAGGCCGTTATCTCTTCCTCTCATAATATTTAAAGCTCCAAGATCTCTTCTGGAAAATTCCATGGGTCCAAAGAGATTATCTCTAACATCAGAACATAGTAAGGCATCTTCACGCTCTGATAACTGTGACGCCATTCCCATCAAAACTTCTTCTATTGGTACTTGAGACATTACATCCTTCAAAATTTTAATTAATAATTATGTAAATAGAAAACCTAAACCTCTTTTATATTAAATATATAAAATAAGAATTTAACCCAAAATAATAATATGTATACAAACGATATTTAAAAAAAAATACAGTAGAACTTGTTATGTAGGCCAAGGATTTTTTTATCCAAATGACTTTTAAGATAATATGAGTACTAAAAAGAGCTAAAATATAATATGTTTATTAATTATTTGAGTTTCGTAAGTCACGAAAATCATTAACATTTATTGTGTATTCAGCTCCTTGTAGTCAAATAAATAATTAATCATTATTTATTGATTTTTACATAATTGTTGAATGCAAATAGATTTATTTTAATTTATTTATACACGATTCAAAGTAAATAAAAAAAAATACGTACATTGCCATCCCACCAAGTCTGACACAGCCTTACAGCATCATGTCCTCCGGGCGCCCTACTGTATCTGCAGTTTCTATCTCTAAGCAATATTGCTGGAGGCACTAACGTATGTCCAAAACGGAACGCCGCCACCGCGAAAGCGTGAGTCACTCCCGGAGCGACCTCTGCGCGATATCCAGCATATGGAGGAATTGGTATCCCTAAAAATGCTGGCACATATTCGTACAGGATGATGTTCTAAACCAAAAAAATATAATAGTAGTAGTAGTTCCTGGGATTAACGCGTTTAAACAAATCAAACTCATCAGCTTTAATATTTAATGTAAATAATTGAAGCTTTGTAAATATGTACCTATGTATATATATAAAATTTTTATGAATGTTTACTTTTAACATTTATTTGTGATAATCCTGCACTTAATAAATAACTGGATAAATGATAACGAATTCTTTAGTAATAATATGTATCTAAGAAAAAAAATGTGTAAAAAGGTAGTGGTAGATCAGTGGTATCGCGCTCTCTTGGGAAACCGAGTGTTCAAATCTCGGGTCTCGCACCTCTGATATTTTCATGTGCGAATTATTTCTAACATGATTACCACTTGCCTTATGGCAAAGGAAAAATCGCGAGGAAACCTGCATGTCTGAGAAAACCTAGCAAGTTTTCAAAAGACATGTGAAGTCCGACAACCCGTCCTTGGCCTGTATGGTGGACTATGGCCTGATATGACCTGGCCCCCTCGTACTGAAGGGAGGCCCGTGCCCAGCAGTGGGGCGTTAAAAAGGGCTGAATTCACATATCTATGATAAACTAAAAAGATTTTTTAAAGTACCTGTAAACTTGCAATAACTATTCTCCTGGCTCTTTGAAACAGTTGCTCATCACTCCAGTCTGGATGCTGACGGTGTATTCGCGCCGCTACTACATTGTGCCAACGCATCAGCAGTATACCGAATGTTACCATAGCAGGGTTTTGATTTGTACGTGGATCGCCCAATACTGAAAAGTAGTACGATGTCCATTTTTATAAGATTTATTTTAAAAGTTTTAAGAATAATAATTTATCTATTTATTTATCGTTTTATCTTGTCAAAACTGCTAGTGATATTATAATTTTAATTATGTTAATATGAGACAACTGAGCAAACTTTCTAACCCCTAAAAATCTTCTAAATATATGTAATTCGTTTCTAAAAAGTCAAATATTTTCATACATTTTAGAGACAATTTCATTTATATTCTACCTTCGTGAATGTAATACTTATAAATTATATGTGGCCAATCAACCCAGCCTTACCCCCATTCGCATTTCCCGTCAAAGCTTAACAATTTATTATCGCTTACAAACTCATAACATAAGCGTGTGGGTTTCCTGTTAAACACATTTTACCAATATTTAATGTTAAACGTATCTAGACCAAAGTAATAAGTATGTACGGAATATCTTTGGAATAGAAATAACATTTTACGATGATCATGATTCAAGTCCGAGAAGAAATAGGTTCTTATATCGACTATGAATTGCATTCTCTCTTATTTACCAAATACGAGTACAAAAAAAACACTTGACAAATGGCGTCAAAGAAATTTTAAATAAATGAATGCGGTTTTGCCGCCTTTGTAAATGTATATATATATATATACACCTACATTGTGAAATAGAAATTTAATTAATAGACACTACGTCTTTTAAAATCAATATCAGTTTGCAAAGGAGGACAAGAGCATTTAATATTTTACTTACAGAATAGCCTTTCCGGACTAAGCATCCGCATGTAATGAGGGACTGGATTATTGAAGAGTGGTACACGTTTCGTATTGCGTAAAGGCAATCCTCCTTCACTAGCGAGGCTCCCGTTCTGTAATTATACTTTTTCTTATTTTTTATATTAATTTTGTATTTTTCTTATTCTAACTTAAAAACTGATAATAACATAAATAAGAACTAAAATAACCATAATTACTCTATTAATTATTCTGCACAGTATTCAATATTTTCAAGCAATAATAATTAAGAATTAAGCAATAAAAATTAAGAAACAGAATAATATAATATTTTTAATTATTATTAATTCATATCTAGCTAGTTTAGGTATTTATTTTACTAACAAGGCAATGACCTGTCACATACAGCTACCGCGGCATGTCAAGTCTGTCAAGTATACCTATCGATAATTGGGCAATCGATCCTAGATACTAGTAGAATGTACGTATTAAGTGGCTATCGCGATTCTACTCGTAGTCGAGCGTCTACTGGATGGAGTAACAAACAGGACACGTGAACTTGATGTATATATTTAACGTTCTCATATATATCGTTAGAAACGATAAAATCCAGAGTGTATCAAAAATATCCGAGAAGTATATTTGATAATTAATATATCCAGTGGACGATCTACCAATTAGATCAATGTATGCATATGAGAACGTATAGCATATGAATGTACATAAAGAGGCAGGCGTGGCTGCTGGTGGCACCTGAAATGACCTCATTGCATTCACCCAGGCCTCGCTTGTGCTGTACACGAAACTGCCGTCGATCCACGACGTTATCTGGTTTATCTGAAACAAGATACTTTTCTTGCTACATTCCATAATAACGTTTTTGGTCTGATACATACTTATGTAAAGCTTATTATTTTAATTTTAATAATTTAGGAACGTACGTACGTACATATGTATATTATGTACATCTTTGTATAAAGGCATCGTGAGTATATGTACGTATGTTCTTAAATGTTTTTGATTTAAGAATATACACATACACTCACAAAGTATTTACTTATTGTAACTACAAATAAAAACACAAATTATTTATTTATATACACGTTAATTTATGAATGATATTGTTAAATGTATAATTTAAATAAATATTATTGTTGTAATCCAAAAAAGAATTTCTTGCTTAGCTAATTTAATATATACTATATTTCTTTGCTTATTTAATATATAGCTCGACTTGGCGGGGGCACTGCCGTGCCCCCCGATTTTGTAATTTAAATATAGAACCTACAGGCCACATTAAATATTCTATGCATTAAAAGAATTATATTTATAATAAACATAAAAAATAGCACTTCACTTTACAAATCGAGCAAATATTTGCACATTGGATTATTGAATTGCCTCGTAATATAAATTTAATTGCTTTTCAATTAAAATTCTATAGCATCTGCGAAGCGCGATGTGTTTGAACTTTATATAAGCGATGTCGGGACATATTTGATGTTAATCAATGCATCGTATTCAGATGCGATCTAGGTTAGAAGGTGCCATTAGATTTTATTGCCTAGAATTCGACCTTCAATAAATAGTATAGACCGGCAATCATATGAATATGTTAGGTATCAATTGATATGTGGCTAATCGGCTAATAGATATAAACTGTGAATTTTATTACATTGTTTGAAGTTGAAACTAGGGCATATATATTATATTAAGAAAATCAACTTTAGTCATATTTAATAAAAGCCTTAACGAGTTACGTAAATGTAAAATACGAGTTTTCTTATCTTAATTGTTTATAGCTTTGTATTAATATAAAGACTTTGTATTTACATACACATTTTATGTTTATTATTTTTAAAAGTTTTATAAGACATAAACGTTTTAAAAAGACTTTATTATAATTTCAGCTAGTTAATTTGTACTTACTTGCTCTCGAGGACTGTTAGGACTTTGGCCAGTAGATCTATCGTACGCCGCTCTATGGAAGGGCATGTACATAGCGCCGCGGCACTCAGGGTCGTACATGTGATCACATTTGTCTACTGGGATTCTGTGTTGTTCGATTGGGCACCCTGACTCTGACGCCATTACTATTTCACCAGTTACCACTTGACCTACAGTGTATAATTTTAGTTTTACTTAATTTGTATCTATGTAAAAAGGTTAAATCAACAGAGTACGACGTGAAAATTACTTAAACATGCAATTATTTTTGCCATTTATATGAAAAAGTATATTTAAATTTATCCTTGAGGTATTAACAAAAACAGCCGAATTGAATACCTCCTTTTCGAATTCGGTCTATAAGATAAAGATAGCTAGCAAGTAGCATAGAATGAATTAATGCTAATTCTAGATATATGTATATAGTGGACAAATGAAAATACCAAAAAATGCTAGTAAAGCAGTTCTATTAGAAAGCGACGGCAGTCCATCTTGTCCGCGCATGAATATCTTGGATAACGTCCTGGCCCCGGGCCTGTCCACGCCTGCCATCATATATACGCCATCGGCATATGAAGCCGGAGTTTTTCTCGTAAGTCGACTACCTGTGAAAGACGAAATATTATCATTAAAATTAACCTAGCAATATTTTGGTGTAATAATATCTTTAGTTACATAGTGCAATAAAATATATAAAATACACACATTCATACATAATTAAGAAAACTGTAATGTGGTATCATGTATGTAGCAATAAAATGATAAATGATTTGTGCATGTGTATTCGGTGCAAGTAAATGCAACCGTTCACTTTTATGTAAGAACTAGCGACTTACCCTAGACGTCCCTAGGTGCGTTTTAATTTTTTGAGCTGAATCCTTCTTTTTCTAAAATAGAAGTAGCCTAAGTCACTCCTTATAATATCAGCTATCTGCCAGTGAAAGTCCTGTCAAAATTGATCCAGCCGTTTCGGAACAAACAGACATACAGACAAAAAAATTAAAAAAATGCTTCTTTCTTATTAGTAGGTACCGTATATACTTTCATATGTATTTAGTAAAAAGCTTTCATTTTGAAATTACAAACAGGTAATTTTATTTGTCTGTATAGACAATACTTTATTGTAATGCAAGTTGTATAACATTGAAGATTTACGTTTGAATTAAATAGTTATTAAAATATAGTAGTGTTTTTAAATTTAAATTTATTAAGTATAACTAATAATTGAAAATATTTTTAATTAATATATAATAAATTTTCTTAGTATATAGACGTGTAGTATGAAAAAATATATTTATGAGCTTTTTAAAGGTCATTAGTTAAAAAATGAAACCCTTATAAGAATTCACCTGTCCATTTGTTCATCTATTCCAAACTATTTTATCTGACTCTTATGAAACTAAATGAATATGTAGTATAAATTTGTAAAAACTATTTATTTATTTATTTATTTATTTATTTATTTATTTATTAGCTTTTCAAGGGAAACAAACAGTACAATAAATAATTACATTCTAAAACATATAAAAGTAATGCTAAAAACCAACCAAGTTTCCACAGATTCACAACACATAAACAAAAGCTTACCACCACGATAAGATGATACATATTATATAAAAATTTTGAATTAAAAAAAAAAACTAAATGTTACCACTTAATAAAACATCAAATAATTATGCAGTTAAAAGTTAAAAGTAACGATATACATACAACCTACAGCAAAACTACCTATTATAAATTAAGTTTTACAATATTTTTTTTAAAACTATTATATTTAAGATGAAAGATATCTAATTTACAATATTTTAAATTAAACTTGTTACATGCACGAGATACAAAATTATTTGAAGCATACTTCGTTTTAGCCTTACGTATTGTGAAAAGAGGTTTATTTCGTGCACCTAATCTGTGACACGCAAGATTCACTTTGCTTAAAAGTAGGGGAGAGTCGATTATAATATTAAACCTGGCCTTTTTTTTTTATTTCGTCTATTCGACAAAACGGTGGTATTTAAAATAACAGCTAATGACATTTAGAGGTCGAGACTACGGAAAGCGGAAAGCATGAGGAAGACCCAGTTTGTAAGCTATAAGTTTGAAAAAAATCTATACTCTTAATGTCATCGAGTTATGTAGCCTTGTCGTACATCCCGTTCAGCTTATTAAAATTGTATTTAGGTACGTTACTTCAATTAGTGCCATTTATTGAACTACTTTTCAACCCACTTACATGTTTATAAATTATTTACTTCGATTTAACTACGGCTTGATGGAATAAGAGACGTTAATACTACTAGCTACTTTAATTATAAATGTCTGTCAAGCTTTACAAACTATTTTTAGTGCTTTAACATATTTTTATTATAATATTTTTATCTTAATTCTCTAGAACAAGCAACTCAACCTCGCTTCGCTTCGGGTTCGTTCCTAGACGAAGATAAATCTATCCCGCGGGAACCGTACATTTTTCTGGGATAAAAAGTAACCTATAAGCTATTCTATATATAGCTACTATAGATAGACTATAATCTATATCTGTGCTAAATCTGTGTTTCATCCAGATCCGTTCAGCCGTTCTGGCGTGAAAGAGTGACAAACATCCATCCATCAATCCTCACAAACTTTCACATTTATAACATTAGAATGGACTAGTATGGATTATGTTATGTCTGATTATGTTTAGTTTCTAATAAGATAAAATCAACGGTAGTTTGATTAGTAGGTTAAGTGTATTATACTTTTATTGTAATAAGAGTAAGATAGTTAAAATGGGAAGGTAAATATTAAGTACAATTGTTTTTTTTTTTTAAATTTACTTTTACTTTTTTTTCTTGCTCACTTTGGAATCACACTGCCTATATGTCTAGAGCTTTTTTTATTTCTATTAATAAATATTGGTTATATTTATATGTAAATCTCGTTGTGGGCTATGAGTCTCGTATCAGAACAAAAGAGTTATAACATTTTTCTGATACAAAAATTTATAATTTAGTAAGATTGTCCGCTATGACTGAAGTTCGGTAAAACTATTTATAGCACGTTTTAAAAACGTTAAAGGGTCATAGTAAGATGATCTATGCCGAACGTTCGATCAAATATTATAAATGTTAGTTATTTCGTGATTGATAGTCAATAATAGGTATGGAGTTGGTCTAGCAAATAATTAAGGTGCGCGTGATCTTTGGTGGCGTAATGCTCATTCGTTGAATCGACATGAACCTCGAATTAGGAGCGAGGAGATCTTCAAACAAGACGTTCTTTTGTAATTCGTAATAGTAGCTACGTATATTCGTACTTGAAGAAAAATAAGTTTTGCCGCTTTCCTTTGTTGTTTGCTGGTTTTCCTGATAGCTTAGTAAAAGAAAGTATGAGCTTAATATCTATTTCCGTATTTTGTATCTTGGGTTCTATGTCGGGTCAAAATATATGATGCATCTACGGGAGATATTTGTGGATTTATCTTTCGATTAGAAAATTATATTAGCGTCTTACCACTCATGAGACAGTTATATGAAAATGATCTAATTCATATTCGCATACATTTAACAAACTATACAACTGGTTAATTAAATTATACTCATGAGCAATTAGTTTTGACAGCTGAGTTCTACTTAATATAAATACTTAATTATTAGCATAATCTTAACTTGATATATGGGGCACATCATATAAAATATTATTTTTATGTAACTTTAATTGATATTAAAATTAGATACTTATACGAGTATAGTTATACATTCATAAAACTAAATATTTTATTGCCAAGTTCGGACTTCATACAAACAAAGTTTTTTCAATGACCTATTCTTCTTCAATATAAACATATTATAATATAAATATAGCTCTTATAAACAATGTATATGCATATATATTTATAATTATAATTATATATTTTAAATATGTTTCTGTATTTTTTTTAAATTAACAATTTTTTTACATTAGTGTTTTGCCGCACTGCTTTAAATGTGTTCGGTTTTTAGCTGCATCACTTTATGATTCAATATGATTCAAAGAATTTAACCAAAGCGGCCTCGCAAGATTATGTAGCATAGGTATGGGGGTATATTAATTTTTGTTATTCATATTTAGGCATATTAATTATCAAATTAGGTAAGAACAAAACGTCTGTGGTGTGTATAACAGTAAAAAAACACAGTTTCCATCATCATCACTGGACTGCGGTTTTATCGCGACTAAATTTGAAACCGTGTTTTTTTTGCAACGCGCGATAAAAAATCACATAATAATTTGTAACATATATGGAGATTACCTAAAGCCGAACATACATATATAATACCTACTTGCGATTAATCGAGCGTAGTTTTTTCGGTCACCGTTGCCAGAAAACCGCACAAAACACAATATATTTAATTCAATGCCAAAAAGATCTATAATACCTACTAGCGGCTCACCCTCGCTTTGCTCGGGTTTGTCGCTAGGTACGTTTTAAATCGATATAAATAGTTATTAGACAGCGTTAGACATATACATTTTTTTGTTAATAATATTGACATTAATATTTATGCGATACTAATTACTAACGTCACTCAATTGTTTTGCCTGCCCGGAACCTCACCACTAACACTTAAACTTTATGGTATGGTATTAAACTTCAAATTGACTTTTAAGTATTATTATGAATCTTTTGTATGGGAGTATAGAAAAATGTTGTTTTTAGACTTTTTCAGGCAATTTTTTAAATTTTTCTCTTCGTAAGAATCATCCTTGTACTTCAAGGAATATTCTAAAAAAAAATTAGCGAAATCGGTTTAGCTGCTCTCGAGATTTGCGCTTACCAACACATTTAACGATTCATTTTTATATTACAGAAGATAATATGATATAGAGGTATTAAATTTTTTTTATTTTTTTTTTAAAGTATTTCATTTTTATTTTTGAGTACAGGGGCAGAGCTGCAAGTGTGACGTCATAGAGATATGATGCAGATGCAATAATCTTTTACAATATTATGCAGTTTTATTACGGTTCCAAATTTAAAAGAAAGGTAGATTTTTTTATTAAGTAGCATCGGCCGATGTAATTGCATGAATATTTTTTTTCTTTCGATGAATTACTATCGGTTTATGTCTAAGGACTAAAACTTTTTGTGTGCTTGATAAAAAAGCATCATCATATACCATGAATAATTAAATATTTAAACCATAAATAAACATGATAAAAAACAACATCACATAAAGTCGATGGCGTTTAAAAATCTTTATAGCCCGGTAGGTTAGAATTGCTGTTTTTTTATAACATAGAAACACTGAATCTTAAAAAAAATATATCAATTATTTCGGCTAGATCGGTTCGCTAGGAATATTTCTCTCTTCTAATCAAAAGAGCTTTCCAACCTGCTGTACCACGCATTACAGTACATTAAGCAGGTCACGATGTAATTAAACACATATTTTACAGGCATTTATCATACTATTATATCACGCAAGGCTCGGAATCATAGTTATCTGCCGATTGCTTGTGAGACATAAACATGTGTTTATAGCTTTTATACACGTGTATTTGCGTTTTGATTTATGACCTTAATAATTTATAAAAAAATTGTGTATTTTAAAAAAAATATATCTTTATCTATGAGAAATCGATTACTATTTAAATAAATGTATGTATTGTAAAATTTTATGAGGTAAAGCACGCATAAAGAGAGTTAAAATGAAAGTTTTAATTTTTATAAATAAAGTATTCAAGGCTGAAAATGATAATATACCTGATAAACGAATGCACTACTTTTTGGTACCTTTTTTCGTATAAGAGCAGAGTCTGTACCACTACGTGGTAACTGGTTATGGATGGCTTTTAATACCTTAATTGTAATTCTAAGACAAAATAAAGGAATGAATAAAAAAATCCGTCCCGATGTATAATAACGTAACACCACATGCCTATGACAACAAATGAAGCCGTAAGCTAAAATGACATATACACCGTCAGCTTAAATCATGACCGCTGACATAGACTGTGGTGGTCGTAAACTTGATATGTGAGTAAATATTGCGAAGTAAATAGAACATTCAATCTTATATACCTACTGTACCACAATAACTTCAATGTAAATTGAACGAATTAAGAGTTATCTCAAATCTATCGATTAACCCCCTTCAGTGATTCGAAGTTATTTGGATTTTAAATTGTTTATTGTGTTTTTTTTCAACAACTTATTTTGAATAGTGTTGTCTAACATTAAGGATTTAATTTAAAAAATGCTTCCAAATAAGCTAAGTGGCTCTACTTGCTAATACCGTTGATTCAATATTCCTGTTTTTCAAGCTCTTTTTTTATTTTCTTAATAATAATTTCTTATTTATAACAAACACAATTTACTTAATTAAATAAATCACAAAAATACTTACCAACTGAACCCCAATCGGGATAAGCTCTGTTATTAAACCAGCCATCATAACGCTGTTTCTCGTAATAGACCTCTGAAAGAAAGAAACATTTATTAAAAAAATACTAATTAATACAAAAATAAAAATAAGGCACGTACTCTACGATAAAAAAATGTGGTAGTCTCTTAAGAATTTTCATATTTATATCTTATAATATTATTAAATGAGCAAGGTATATAAATTTGTTTTGTGTTTCTCGGGAACTTCTCTAACGATTTGGACCACATTTTGTATTTAGATAAGGCTTTGCTTTTTAAGGTTATCTATATATGTAGATAGATGTCTTTTCTGAAACAACGCACCTTTTATCTTTTCCAAAAAGAAAACGCCACGCGATGCTCTGTCGCCTTGGTACTCATATGTTTAAATAATAAGTTAAAAATATATAGCTTTTATAATAAACCATTGTGACTATTATATCTACTTTATTCTTGGTGAGTGATTGATCTCAGTATAGATCATCTGACAGGATTAAAAGTCATAAAAAAATTGAATTGAAAACTCTGCAAGCTTTGTATACTAAAAGCCTGCTAGGTTTTTTCAAGTCACGTTTATGTTTAAGTATTGAGAGTATAAACGATTAACATTACATCTGAAACGGATACAGCACATAGCACCTGCACAATTAATATCTAATGCACGATACACAATTAATTTCTAGTACACTACAAATAGTATGTTAAGAGTAATTAAGATTACGAGAATTTGTAATAATGTTAAAACATAAATAAAATGCAAGTAATACGAACATTGACGCTGGTTTCAAATGACATACATTTTTTAAATTGTCCAATACAACATTTTGATAAACTGCATTATTTAAGTAATACACAATTTTTCAATATACATGATATTAAGAAATATAAGTACATAGGTACTACGTACGTTCATTTTCTTTAATTTGTTTATCTTATTATTTATATACTAGCGGCTTACCCTCACTTCGCTCGGGTTCGCCTTTAGAAGAACAAAAACAAATCTATCCCACGGGAACCGTACATTTTTCCGAGATGAAAAGTAACCTATGTGCTATTTCAGACTATAACATATCTCTGTGCCAAATTTCATCAAAGATCCATTCAGCTGTTCTGGCGTGATTAAGTAACAAACAACAATACACCTAAACTTTCACATTTATATATATATATATATATATATATATATATATATATATATATATAAATGTGAAAGTTTCTCTTACAAAAAAGTTATACATATTGTATATATATATATATATATATATATATATATACAATATGTATAACTTTTTTGTAAGAGACTTATTTTTTAAGAGAGGTTATTGTATTAGAATTACTTGTTTGACAGTTATATGAGCCACCGGTATATGAACCACCAAAATATGTAATGTAAAATTCATTCTTACGTTAAGAGCTCACATTAAAATCGAAATTCCAGATGGTGTACAGATTTATGTTAGCAACAATATTTCTGATACAGCTTCGAAGCTTCTTTATTTCTTACTAGCGCCTCAACCTCGCTTCGCTCGGGTTCGTCCCTTATTTGCTTCCCAATATAAACTTTCATCCCCATTTTTACCCCCTTAAGGGATGATTACCGTGATAAAAAATGTGTGTGTCCTTCCCAGGGTCTCAAACTAACATCTTACCAAATTTCATCTAAATCGGTTCAGTAGACCTAGAGATTACCCCCTACAACGCCACAAACTCACAAATTTTACCTCTTTATAATATTAGTATAGATTTATAAATTTTATCCCGCGGTTCCGCTCGCATGGTAATCGGAGCGAGGATTAATGGTAATAATCGTTTGTCTTCGGGATGGAAGTATGCCCTTGCCAAATTCTCATCTGTTCAGTGGTTTAAGCGTTAAAAGGTAAGAAACAGACGAACACAGATTTACGACGATAACACGACATTTATAATATTAGTAGATATTGCAGTATGGCTTCCTATTGACTGAATTAGGTACAATCTTATACTTAAAAGGTCACGAGTTTGATTACCGCAAAGGGTAAATGTTTTTCTTAACCACAGAGATTACCCAAGTCTGATTAAGATAATGTACGGGGTTGGAAAGCCTCTTAGAGTAAATATTATCTCGTCAAGCCAGAAAATGGAGAATGGATTTATAGACAACAAAGTCTTCTTCTCATATCGAGGAAAAGAATGAGATGGATAAGTTAAATATTTTTTTTTGTTATCAATTACTTTAAATGTTTACTGTATATTACATACTACTACCCTACCTTCGCTCGGGCTCGTCCCGGGTGAAAAAACACAAATAAATGTATTCCACGGAAACCGTATATTTTTTCGAGATAAAAGTAGCCTATGTTCTATTCCAGACAATAATCTATTTCTTTGTCAATTTTCATCCAGATCCGTTTAGCTGTTCTATCGTGATTGCGTAACAAACATCCATCCATTCAAACTTTCGCATTTATGTAGTACATAAGATAAGATTTTTCTCTGAAGATAGCATCAACACGAAGAATATGTTGTTATAAATATACAATTGTAAGTAAGATATTTATAATTCGAATAAGAATCGTGTGAACGATTCAAGCACAATTCCAGGTCGTGTTCGATCAAAGTCATAATTATGATTAATTTTATATTTAAATATTCGACTTCGAAAATATTTGATTAGGTATGTTTAGTAAATGAAAACTACCAATCAGTTATTTTTTACTTTTTAGTGCTTTTGTTTGAAGTCGGTTTTTATTTTTTTTGTTAAAAAGTTTTTATTTTTCCCTTTTTAGTGTAGACAGTTACTAGTAGCAAAGTAAGAATTCTAACGTGTTAGGCTTGTCAAATCAAACAAAATAAGCCCAAACTCAAAGTATCTACTATTAGCCGTTGAAGAGTTTCACCTATCCACCTTCTGGCGTTACCATCAGATCGGGTCAACAATACCGAACCACTGTACTATTAACGGAAATAGAAACACTTGCAAAGTTTCAAGTCAATATGACAATTAGAAATAGGTTAAATTCATCATTTGCTATTTTTTCACCCTTAGGGGCGGTATTTTTTTTTTAAATTTATATGGGACCAATCTGGAAGTATACACTTTCAAACAACACAAAAATTGTCCAAATCGGTTAATAAATGACGGAGTTCTGAGGTAACAAACATAAAAAAAAATACAGTCGAATTGAGAACCTCCTCCTTTTTGAAGTCGGTTGAAAAACAAGTGTTTTGCGAAAGTTGTATAATGTTCTTATCTATCTGTCAAAAAGTAGCACCGAGCTAGTCAGACGTACAATAGAAAGGCAGATAATGTTATAAACTGTCAGCAGGCGACCTCTTGACGAAGAGTGGGCGTAACATGGGTCTCACTTGTGTTACCGTTACGAAATAAATATGTCAACAGACAATGAATGATTAATAATCGTATCATAAGCACTGCACTGATTTCGTGGTACTTACCTATGTACATGTTAATTTTTAACCAATCTCAAAAAAGAATTCGTTTCGGCTAAATATTTTGTTCGTTTGTTACATCATTCATAAACTTAGATTAGTAAAAACAAAATTAGATGGAACGTGCAGAGGACGAAACCCAAAATAGTTTTTTATCACTTCCCCCATTTTAAGAACCGTGATCAAATGTTTGTGCATAATTAAAATTTTTGGAAAATTAATTCAATTATTCAACCAGTGTTGTTTCTACTGCCAGTGTCTGCATCCGTAGACATAAGGAAAGAAAAAAAAACACGCACAAAGCAAGAGCTTCCTTATATTTTTATAAATAAAAGAAAATATTGAGTAATTTTAATACAAATATTAAACTAATTATCAGAATAAATGGGATAAAATATTTATATTTATTAAGTCAATTAAAATGTAATATATTAAACTTGTATAGAATGAATAGTTCTAAACTAAAACTAATAAATTTTATGTAACCTTATAGCTATGTCTTATACCTGCAATAAAATAGAATCAGATTATAATGTCAGACAGCACGTTAGGGTAATAAATTTTACTTAGATCTGTTTCAGGTCCCAGCTCATGCACTCGCCGATCTCCAAAGTAGGTTAAATCAATACAAACATTTTACATTACCGACTTAAATCAAATGTAGAGTGATAAATTATGATTTATAAACTGTTAGTCCACATTAATTAAATTCACATTTTATTTCATTGTGCGTGTGTAGTGTAGAGCAAAGCTACATAATATACTCGTATGTACCTGTCTTTTTACAAAGTAAGTTTTTTGTCTACAACGCTATCATGAAATGTTTAAACCTTTTATAAATATTTATTAGAATACTGTAAAAAGCTTCACAATTTTTCGATATAAATAAAATACCTAAATAAATTATTTTATTTATTTATATAAGTCTTAATAGTTACTCACCTCTTTAAGTAGCAAGGATTACTTTTGTACAAGTTTTTATATATTCATATTTACATCAATCTAATCAATAAAGCTAATTAGCACAAAAACTTGTTCAATTAAGTGGATGAACAATTTTCAAAGGTAAAATATAAATGGTGTTAATAAAAACTCGCAGTTCCTTTATATACAAAAACGAATCCGGTATCGTCAGGACAGATCAATTATTATAATACGTGCCGTTTTTTTTGTAACGTAGTGAGATCATAGCAACTAAACTGCATAACTGTATAGAAGATATCTATAGTCTACATAACTATAATTTCGATGAATGTAATATTTTTAGAATAAACTTATAACCTCAGAGACAGTCTCAAAATATGTTTAAATTACTTTCAAGTGATTTTGAAGTGTGCTCTTTCTGTTAAAAAGTTATTAATGTAAAATTTAATAGAATTTGGTATAAAATTTAAAATATGTATTTTAATTTAAAATTAGTTTTTGTTTTTTATTACACTGAATGTTATAGTTTTAATAATATTTTATGTATCCATTATCCATGCACTTCATTAAATTTGAGTTAAGATATTTATTACTGGAACATCACATTAATAGTAAGTATATAATATAAACACATTAACTATTGCAATAGGCTACAAATCAATCGGTTATCTAATTATCTTTTAGTTGTAACACACAATATAT